GATTTGGGGGTTTAGTGTAGACCAAGCCTAAGAGATTAATTTCTTAGTTTGCCATTAATTTGTTTGGCAATGAGAAGACTGATTTAATCTTTCAAAATTAAGGTCTGAAACACAAGATGTGCATCAGGAAAACATTCAGTAAGAACAATGCCAACAGAAGAATTACTACTAGACACCAGGATTAACTCTCAAGGGAAAAAAATAGTAGTAACTCCCCTCCCCCAACTTACTTTGCAGAGTGTTGGGATCAATGAGGTGGATGGTACTTGTTACTCTGATGCACACACAAATCTGGCTCATATTCCCAAGGCTCTGTGCCAATTTTGGAGACAGACATACAACATTGTCCTGTGCAGCAAGAGACAAAATTGCACACATTTGTTTTCTTGTTTTTAGTTATATTTAGATTTTTAGCAAAGTACTAAATTTTTTTTAAACAAGTCCTTAAATTGAGCTTGAGAACAACCACTATTACCATTCAACATAGATGCTATGAACAAACAACTGGGGGGGGGGGGTGTTGAGGGGGAAATCTACTTCCACAATACTGTATGGTTGAGAAGTGAGTTTCTAACGTTCCCATGGTAAAACTTTGACACTTGGTAAGAAAATAGCTTTTTAGTTACAGCACAAAGTCATTTTTCCCAACCTTCAGTGGAACAAAGGAGGAAGACCTTGTCCATCTGCATAGTGCCTTTTGCATGGTTCTCCTACTTATCAGAAAGTTTTGGATATTTCTGTAAACTTGACGAAAGATAAGGTTTTACCATATTCTGTTTTTAAGGTTTCTCCAGGGATCATTCTTTACTTTTTCAGGGATTAACATTAGTTAAGTTTTCTCAGGGTATAAAGTAAGAAGTCAGTAGTGCAGGTCTCTGTCTCCTAAATTAGCAAAAATGCTCAAAGGTGGAAAAAGATGTTTTACACTAACTAACTATAGTACATATTCAGTGGGGCTCAATTTGTGACCAGCAATATTTTTCTTAACTACCCAAATGACTAGGGTATTTTGGATATATTTTCAGGCAAATTGTCTAAAATACAGACCTCAATTATCTACAGATAACCACCCCCATTTTTAATATAAATACTGTAATAGTACCCAAAGGGGCTAATCAAAATCTCATTAAAGCCCCACTGTACTAGGCTCAGTATAAACACATACCAAGACTATCCCTGCCCAGAAGAGCTTTTCACACTTGGGTAGAGTTATACTTTTTTTTAACTTGCACAGAAGTTTGTTTTCCCTATATTTTACTTCTCGTGCTACTGGACTAAGACAAATCCACATAACACCCTGACAACCACTACTACTGCTAATGATCATCTTCATTTGGGTCAAGTAAACTTTCAACATGTAAATCAAAGAAGTGCAAATGAATACATAATGCATGGAAACACAAGAGTATGGTTCAAGTGCATTGGGATATGTATTTACTTTAATATTTAAAGGTGTTATTACATAAGCCCTACTATATAAGAATCCTCTCGAAAGCCACCAAAAAAAGCATTATTACATGTTAAGCAGAACAGAGGTGCACTTTGAAGGTCATAGGTAAATCTGCTTTTCAGTGATATGAGCCAAAAACCCAGTTTGGAGGATATCTGAAAGTGAACATGGAAATTCTCAAGCCATTATCTCTCTCAAACACTTCACGCGATTGTGCACAAAACTTTTCAGTCAAATTCTACCATGGGATGAAATTTAGCATGTAAATTTTGAGTTGCATTGGTTTTGCTTTTGATGTAATTATACAAATATGTTGCACATTGGGTTTGTAAGTGCTGGTTTCAGCCAGAAATATGGAGAAACAAGCACTCTATCCCCTTCCAAAATGATTTTGAACACACATTTTAAAATACTTTCCAAGCTAATGGAATGCTTGATCAGAGCTTTTTTCACTAAGAATGCATTTACCTTAAAAGATCCTGTTAAAAAAAAAAATCCTGCCTCATCATGATCAAAAATGTAAATTACAGCCATTGTAAGTTGGTAATATATTTTATCCCTTAAAAAAAAAAAAGAAAAAAAAAGAGGAAAGCTACCTTGCATATTGGAACAATCTCCACAGAGAAAGTGCTTTTGTAATTGTAGGCATTGCTATGAATATCATGAGAAATCAAACGCTGGGATGATTTTGATCTAAAAGACATAAGTAAAACTTTAAAGAAGCAAAACAAGGCATAAGAAATATACAGAAGATAATTCATTCTATCAGCACAAAATATTGTAGTAGAAAAAGACTTGCAAAGATATGGCTTCATATCACAAGAAAATTAGGAATAACATGGAAAACAGGACAATGGACAAAAGAGTTAGTTGCATGATGTCTCAGCTGATGGAAAAATTTGGAGACTTAGATGGGATGAGTCTTTTGTAATTATAACAGAGAACTGCTGGTTCTGCACTTTACATATGATTTTTAAGATAAAGGTTCAAAGTAATTTTCCAACAGATCTTGAAAATCTGAGTTAGAATGTGATAAACTATGGCAAAATACCTGGAAGGAACTGTACACTGAAGAAAGTCTACCATCTTCTGGGCATGTTGCTTTGAACCATAATAGAAATCCAGGCCATCTTAAAGAAAACACAGCTACATGAAGATACCTATTTAAAGTACAATATAGTATTTTTCACTGTAAAATAATGGGCTATATATTCAAAATTAGGCATTTAAATCATTCCTGTAAGTAACCAATGTGCACAAAAATTGAATACTAGTACTTATTTTTCAGGCCCAACACAGACTTCCAAATTCGATTACTTCAGTCATTTTACGTAAAGATTATTGACAAGCCACTTCACTTACCATGAATCTCTTTGATCCGAAGAGTATTTTGATGAAGCCTGTGTTTTAAAATCAATTGTTCCAAATAGTAGAAAGTCTTTTTGTGCAGAGTCTAAAGTTAAAAAGTCAAATCAAGGTTACATTATGAAAATTTAACAACCTTCAAGTATTCTGTAAATGCATCAACAGGGTAACCATTAACATGGAATGATCAACTGAAGCAGAAATAATAATATGTAGTTCTTATATAGTGCTTTTTATCTGTAGATCTCAAAGCACTTTACAAAGGAGGTCAGTATCATTATCCCAAAATTACAAATGGGGAAATTGAGTAAGTTTAGACACTGAACTAAATCTTTATTACAAGAGAACTACTGAAAATTTACCATACATGTACATAAGTGTGCAAGCAACTGCTCTATTTATGCCTTCCTGTGTTGCTTTTAAACCTCTATTTCTCATTTACGTTTATATCTTGCTTCTGCAATACTGATTTTTCAATAAATTAGATCCTAAACAATTATAAATAACCCATCTTTCTGATTCTAATGGGATTAATTTAACTGATATTAAAAAACCAAAATGATTAAAAAAATAATCAACTAGCGCCATGAGCTACATGGCACTAAAATTGTAGTATGCACCCATTCACTTCCTTTTCTCAAGTGGTGAACTTGAATACTGGTTAAAGAAATGCAAATATGGACATTTATAAAAACCAAGCTATTCAAATGTTTAGTTTATCTATCTGATCACCTTATCAAACACTGCACAGCCTAGAGATTGTCTAGGAAGTGTGTTTTCCACCACTTTAGAAGCAGAACAGTTTCAGAAGGATGCAAACTGCCAGCAGGCAGTCTGCTGAGAACAAGATTATTTAGACTAGTCAAGTCTTAGGCAGCCCTGTAAGGAATCACAAAAGGACTGTACAAAACTAAGGGTACGTCTACAGTACTTGCAGTTGGGAGCTTGCCTGCCAGCCTGGGTAGACATGTGAACATTTGTGGCACTGGCTAGCTCGCTGAGTACAAGCCCACTCGACCCCCCATGTCCGTACTTGGGTGTCTGGACTGTACTGATGATGAAACATCTATACGGCTAGCTTGAGTGGATTTAGCATCTCTGTATACCTGGTTGGAAGGCCCAGTTCCAGCTGCAATGTAGACATACCCATTAGTGTCTGAGCAACAGAATGACTGAAGCTGGCTGTTGGTCAAAGCAAAATATTGGGGTAAAACAAAACACTTCCTGCTGCTTTTTCCTAGCAAAAAGTGAAATAGTCACAAATGCAGGCAAAAAGTCTGAGAAATTTTTCAAGTATATTAAGTGTCCTAAACATTATTTTCAAGCAGGAAAAATCTAAAAACATTCTTAAATGATATCAGGTCTTATTTTAATAAATCACATTTTACATTCTTGCATTACAAGGTTTTAGAATTTTTACATAAGGCAAAGGTGCAGCCTCTAGAGAAGCTCTACATATTGGTAGGACTGAGCAAGACAGAATCGTGTTATATTTTCATTTTTAGAAGATTACCTTTGCAACCAAAATGGCTAGAAACCATATTTTTTAAATAAAAACTAGTGGCTCTCCAGTTGTAGTGAAGTTTAAGAAAAGCAAAAATTGAAGAATTCATGACAACCTGTGACAGCATGACAAATAACCTGCCTTAACAATGACATATGAAATGCCTGCCAGACAGGTGCAAAATAAAACATATCAGAAGGTGCAACTTAGATGCTCAGACACTCACTATATCTGAATTAGTTTTAGACTTATGGAAAAAAGATGTAGGTGTTAGCTCACTGTATGGTTAGGGTCAAAAAAGGAAACAAGAGGTCAGCTAATGTTAGGAGGAGGCTGGAGAATAAGGAAAATATTTCAATACCACTAGCTTATAGGTGGGGCTGGTAGCATCACTTATTAAGATTGTCCAGCACTTCCCATTATTAGACCCTGTTTTTAGCTGCTTATAATTTCGCTGACCTTTACTGTTTGGGCTGAAACTTCCATGCCAAGAATCTGCCTCTGGCTGATATATTTTTATTTTTTAATTTCAGCCAAAAGGGTTCAGTCATTTTCAAAAACAAGGCAGGGGAAAAACTAGTTTTGCAATGTTAAAGTAATTCTGGTGACCTTTTCTTTGAAAAGCTCTGGTGGCCCCACACTTTGGAGCATATGTACAAGGCTGGCAACCTTAATTCTGGTATTTCCTAAGTGCCTGATTGACTTTGCAACTTTAAAAATGTTTCTTAAACATTTTTGTAAGAGCAATATGCATGAGATTGATGGTTCATGTTCACTTTAAGTTCTGATGCTCACCCTTTTAGGCCAGGAAACAGATATTCTCATCCCTTCCCCCAAAGCCAGGTGAGCTGGAAACAAAGAGAAGCAGGGTTTTCTTCCTTCTTTCCTTATGGGTGGGTGAGGGTAAGTAGCTAATATCATCTCTACATGCTTCTTCCATAGTCCCCGGTCCTCCATCCAAGCATGTCAATATTGAATAGTGCGTGGCACATGAAGATGCAAGCCAAAGAGGCAGATCGGGAAGGGTGTTTACCTGTCTATATGAGACCACTCTCCCAGCTACTGGCTTGGTTTGCTGGGAAGCACAGGCTTAAATGTTTTGGATAAGAGGAGAGTAAGAGTTGCTAACATAGGGTATGTCTATACTACTAGACGCGATAAATCGATCCCCGAATCGATGCCTATACTCCATCTCGGCAGAAGGAGTAAGCGGAGTCGACGGGGGAGTCACGGCGGTTGACTTGCCGCCGGGAGGATGGCCAGGCAAGTTGAACTAAGATACTTCGACTTCAGCTACGCGAATAGCTACGAATAGCACAAATGTTCACGTCTACCCAGGCTGGCGAATAGCATAGCTGAAGTTGTGTTATCTTAGTTAGAACCTCCGCCCAGTGTAGCCCAGGCCATAGATTGATTAGTTTAGAAAAAAAGACCAAGAGGGGATACAGAATAGCACAAAGAAGGCTAGTGAAACATCTGCAGTTACTTTAATTGGGATACAATGTGAAAGGGCCATTACTGTTCATGCCTCAGAGAACAGACTGGCTGGGGTGAGGGAAAGATTTCCACCTTATTTTTGCAGACTATAATATTCCTGTATTGACCAGATGCATTGTGAGAAGCTTACACTTCAAAAGAAGGCATTCAGTATTGGTCACTTGACAGGTTACTGAACTAAATGGATACTGAAGAACATTAGTATTGTTTTTACCTTTTGTCTGACTTGAACCACTGCTTTCCAGAAATCCTTAGCTTCAACTCTATGACAGTCATCACACATTTGAGGCTGAACAACATACTCCACCACAAACACTTGTTGAAGGATTGCTCCATTCATCACCTGCAGAATCAAATTTAAATTTAAGAATGATTACAAATTTCCTTTCTTCTGGTTGAAGATGGTGCCATTTTATAGTTTACATCACTGATGCAAATATTCAACCAAAAATTAGTACCGGTATATTATAGTTCAGAGTAACTGATATAGCAAGATTACTTGACAGCCATTGTTATGCTGTGCATGGAGGTTGGCACTACTATTCATGGAACATAAATGTCATGCTTTTATAAAGACCTCAATTTTCCAAATAATTACTCAGAAAATGAAGATAAAATAATATTTTAACGTGTTTAAAAAACAAAGTTAACTTCTGAACACAAGCAGGCAATTTCTTTATTATAAACCTGCCTCTTTAGACGGTTGAATCTTTCATTAACTTCTCTGCCTGCATATGATTATCTTTCCTCCCTGCAGCTGAGAAAGCAAAATGCCTGACTCAGGCCACTGTCAATACTCTCCATTTGTAGGCTTTAGGCACAGTGAAATCAGCATCTTCCTCCAAGATAAACAAATAACCTTTGGAACATGCTTGGCCTCCACCAGCCAACACAAAATTGCCTTTCAGTACGCTACTGTATTTGTCTCCTAAAATAGTGCTTAGAAAGAAACCTATAAGAGGTGCAATGGATCTCAATTACCTCTTTTTGTACTGTCAGCTTTATTTTAAGTCTCCTGGAATGTGGTTCAGTCCAAACAAAGCTTGCTTCAATCAGCCGCACCTGTCAGTAGAAACAGAGAGGCTTATTCATTATCCTATAGTTGATAAACTGTCAGACTCTCTAACATGCATGTTTAAAGCATGAAAAGTTAACCATTAAGAACACAAGCTTCAGGTACTGAGTTACAAAGTACACCATCAGCAACTGAGGACTGGAAGATGTCTAAGAAACATGCTTAGCAGTACATCAAACCCAATCAATATTATTAATGCTACACCTCCACAGAATTACATTGAAAAAATTTCTTGTAGCTAAAACCACTGACATAGAAATACTACTACTGCCATTTGTGCTTTTCACTGCAAATTGTCAAGTAACAAACTGCCAGTTACTTAAAAATCAATGTAAAAAAGGCTTACTGAAATTGTTACTTTACTGTGTACTACTATAAATATAACCAAGTAAATAAAATAGAGTTAAAACCTAGGTGGTCTATTTCCTAGTCCAAATTGCGATGTGTGGCACAAGACCAACCAATATCTCAGAGGTGGGCAAACTACGACCTGCGGGCTACATACAGCCCACGGGACCATCCTGCCCGGCCCTTGAGCCCCTGGCTGGGAGGCTAGCCCCTGGCCCATCCCCTGCAGCTCAGCTTGCCCCACCGCCAGTGCTCTGGCCCGCAGGGAGGCCCCGGGGGAGGGAAGGGGGCGGTCAGGGGATGGGGAACGGGGCGGTTAGATAGGTGTAGGAGTCCCGGGGGGTCTGTCAGGGGTCGGGAGTGTGGATGGGATTGGGGCAGGGGACATTGGATAGGGGGTGAGGTTTTGAGGGGGGCAGGAAGTGGGGGTGGGGGGGTCGGAGGCCAGGCTGTTTGGGGAGGCACAGCCCTCCCTACCCAGCCCTCCATACCGTTTTGCAATCCCGATGTGGCCCTTGGGCCAAAAAGTTTGCCCACCCCTGCAATATCTGGTAATACTAACATGATTGTCAAATGCATAATATATCTGTTTGGTTTAACAGTGGATATTAATTTCAGTAACTAAATGCTTTCTTTAGGGATGTGCTTTGTTTGTATTAGCCAGATCTAGCTCCAAACTCTGGGTGAAATCCTGCCCTCGCTGAAGTCAATGGGAATTTTATAATTAAAATTTTTTTTTAAAGAATATTAGGGTTAGAAGGGACCTCAGGAGGTTATCTAGTCCAATCCCCTGCTCAAAGCAGGCCCAATCCCCAACTATTTTTTTTGCCCTAGATCCCTAAATGGCCCCCTCAAGGATTGAACACACAACCCTGGGTTTAGCAGGCCAATGCTCTAACCACTGGGCTATCCCTCCTCCCCATTACTATTGACTTCTATGAGGTCAGGATTTCACCCTCCATCTTTAAAATGAATCAACTGATATAGGGTAGAGGTAAATGTGACTAACTACCCAGAAAGCTCTAAAGTCTATACAAGTTAATCAGATCTTATTTTATACAGTGCAAATGCAATTCAGTGACTAACCTTACTAAGCGAAGCTTTGATTTTTTTAAGACACAAAGTAAGAAGTTCTCTCGATTCTAAGGCACACTGAATCCAAGTTCCTGGAGGCTGAAGATATCTGAGATAAGGGGAAACTTTCAATGATTTAAATTATTCAGAGATCACTGTTTATTTCAAACATTATTAGGTTTAGTAAAACAAAATGTTTACGATAAACCCAAAACTGGTGCTTCCATAAGAAAACATTAAGATCCATATACTTCAGAGGTACAGTACTTGAACTTTTCCCCACCTCTGACCCACCCATTCTTTCCTTCAGAAATGACTTAAGCCATCTACTTTTTTATTCATGTGGGCCCACATCCCAGAATCATTAATATTGCTTCTGCAAAACAAAAGCCTTAAAAATAATAATTAAAAAAAAAGTACCAAATAAGGTCAAAACAGACATTTGCATTCTATGAATATAGACTTGGTCATTTCCAACCATCGCTTATGATATTAATGAAAATATCACGAATTAAACATTTTAGTGACATATTAGCCTAAAACCTACAGTGTAATCATATCATACCTCTCACACTGTTTGCAGAAGTGAACAGTGACTTGTTTGGGGATTCCTTCTGTGATATCCACCTGAATTCGTAAACATGCCACGCACATGTTCGCAGGGTTTGGTGGGATTGGGATGCCACACTGGCAGCACAGGCTTGAGTAAATGAAGCAGAATTAACAAATGACAATTAACAATTAACACTATACTTGGGGGAAGTGAGAGGTATAAAGGCAAAGAAAAATGGTGTGATGGGAGGAAGGCCTGCTGCCAGCCAGGACACACATCAATACATCCTATCACTGTGCACTTAGTCTGGAAGGTTGTATGGGTTTGGCTTGAAATGAAGACCCAGATCCCCCAGGGTGTCAGTGACCAATGCCATCTCAAGCCCACCAGAGGAAAGCGACGCCTGTAGCGGCTGCGCTGGGGAAAGGTTCCCGACTCGTGGCTCTTCTCCACGGGCTCCCCTCGCGGGGAATTTCAGAGAGGTCCGAGCTTACGTTTTCTGCCCTCCCCTCCCGCTATGGGCTCCGGGGACCCGGCCGGGGCCTCACAAGAGACCGGGCAGTTCGCTCCAGTCCTACCCAACCCGACCCCATAACTCCCCCGCGGCCCGTCCCGTCCCGCGGGCAGCGCCAGGCCCGTGTCACTTACATGTTCCCCGGGCTGGGGGCCACCGGCTCCTTCATGTACTCCATGTCCGGGCACACGGCTCCTGGGAGGGCGGAGAGCAGGGTCAGCGCGGGCTCGGGGCACCCTGGCGGCGAGCTACTCGCAGGGCTCCCCCTCCCGGCCCGGCCCACGGGTCTCTCCCCGCACACAGGCGGAGGGCGCGAGGCTCCGGTAGGCCCGGGGCGGCGTGTGCGGGCCTACAAGGGCACTATGCCTGGGCAGCCCACGCGGAGACACGTGTCAAGCCGGGCCGGTCCCGCTCCGTCTCCGCCCACCCCTTCCCGCCGATCCCGCGCCCCTCTCCCACCCGCCGGCGCGCGGGACCCTTTACTCACCAGCACCCGCTACCCCGTGTACGCTCTGCACTCGGCTTCCGGGTTCCTTCCGGCAGAGCTGGGGGTCTCGGGCCCGGCCGTAGCCGAACTCCCGCGAGAACAGGGCGGAAGCGGGGGCGATGGTTGTTTACATCAAGCAAGGCTGAGCCGACCTTCCCTTGCGGTTTCTTAGCCAATCCGCGGCCGCGGAGCCTGTGGTTAACGCTGAGTGGCCGCATTCTGAGGTGCGACCACATGTCCCGCCCCGGCTCAGCGAGACTGGCAGGGTAGCCTCGCCCCCACTTTTGCCGACAGCCAATGGCC